TTTTTTGTGGAACCGTCGGGGCTCGACCAGGTCCACTTCCTGTGGGGCCGCTTCTGGAAAAAAGAGTTCATCATAAAGAGTCCCTCTTTCTCCATGAAGTCGGCCAGCTGCTGGCCCCTTGGATTCCGTTGCCCTATTCCAAATTTCTCTACTTTCAGCTCACCATTCTCTCTTGTGCCTAGTTTTGCATTGAAGTCTCCCATTAACACCGTATATTGGGTTTTGGAGGAATGCATGGCTCTAGAGATATCCTCATACATCTCCTCCACCTCCTCATCGGGGTGTGCCGAGGTTGGTGCGTAAACCTGTATGACCTTCAGCGAATACCGTTTGGTGATTCTGAGTATAAGGTACGCAACCCTCGTCGACACTCTCAATCTTTACAACGTTGTTAACGAGAGATTTATGGACGATAAATCCGACACCTCCTTGGGACAGATGGTCGCCCTCCCGGTGATAGAACAAGTTGCCGGATTCGAGGATTACCGTTTCCTCCCCCTCTCTTCGGACTTCGGATAATCCTATAATATGCCAGCGTAACTTGTCTATCTCTTCTTCCAGCTCCACAATCTTCTCGTCAGTCCTCAGGGTGCGTGCGTTGTATGTTGCCAGGTCGAGTCGTCTAAGGTGGCAACCGAACCTCCACCGGAGATTCTTAGCACCCCCTGCCCCGCCGTTACCATGGTCGCCACCGTAGCCAGGAATAGCGGGGCCGCCGGGGACTGGGGGCCGTTTCTTTGTTACTGTCATTCATAGGGGGGTATTTGCCATAGTTGCCACGCTTGGCGAGCGGGTTGGCAACCGCAGTTTTTTTATTGTGTTTTTGCTGATATCAGGAAGATGCTGCTGCCCATCTCCTGCCTGTTTCCCTTTGTCGCCTTTTACGACACCCACGGGAAGATATGGGGTAGTGGGTATTCTCAACCGCCACTACACGGCAATGTCATCAGTAGGACTCGAAAATTGATTTGGATATTTAAAACCCTAAGACACGTAATACCAGATAATACTAAACAGTCGGACTCTCCCTGATATCATCTAAACCAAATATACATATCCCTTGCACAATCTATCATAACGTATTGCATTCCGATGCGGGGTGGAGCTGCAAAGACCCAATTTCTCAACTTGGAAAGAGCCCAACGAACCCTTCTTAAGGTTATGTATTTAAAAAAAAAAGACGTTTTTCCACTGAAATATTTAACTTTTCCACTCAAATATGTGGTCTACTCTCAGTTAGACAATTATACGTTACTACGACAACGCTCAAAGCACACAAATCCCTGCCCTTTGACCCATGCATCTTGGAAAAGCGGCGAAAAGTCTTGGTTGTGTCTTCTGGTTCCAAAACAGTGTTTGCTAGTAGGCAATTTAGCTCACGTTCTGCATTCCTATATAACATAATAAATAGAGAATTAAACATATACGACAAAACTTACTAGGAGTGTAAAAACCTTATACTAAAATGGGTGCAGTCGAAAACATAATATGACGAAACTAAATTTCTGATGGTACGCATTTCATAATTCACTGTTATTTACAATATATAACATAATAATACTTTCTCTACACACACACACACACACACACACACATTCACACACGCACGTGCACACACACACACACACACGCACACGCACGCACACGCACACGCACTCGCACACGCACACGCACACGCACACGCACACGCACACGCACCCAAACACGCACATGCACATGCACATGCACTCATATATTTTGTACTTTTTGTAATTTTTGGTTGTAAATATAGAAAAAATTAGTTTTTGTCATTTTTGGTTGTAAAAATAGAGTAATTGGTTCTTTTTGTCATTTTTTGGTTTTTAGAATTAAAAATGTGTGTTTAGATAAGGAAGAGTGGGGTTTCCAAACACAAGCATTACTTGCTTAAATGGAGACTCCAATCAACTATCTAATTAATTTAAGTTTTGTGAAGAAAAATAAATTATTTTATTTAATTATTATTATTATTTAGTGTGTTAGCGCAATCTACGGTTAGCGTCGAAGGTTAGCGTAGACAGAAGATCGACTAGATAAATCATTCGACCCCCCCCCCCCCTCCCCAATCCCAACTTACGAATTTTGGAAGTATATATAAAATAAAAAATATTAACACTTGTTTATAAATGTACACTACCAGCACCACGGTGGGAGCCCATATAAAATATTAGCGGAAATTTCAAACCTTTGTATTCTGTTACTTTTATTCTATAACTTAAAGGGCGTCAAGCTACTTCACCAACATCAAGACATGATATTTAATTATCCAAAACCACTCCAACCTACGAATTTGAAGTATATATAAAAAAAAATCTGACAAATATATTTAAAAAAGAACATTTCAAAAATATTAAATATTTAAACTGAACCTACGTAGTTTATCAAAAAAAAATGTGTGCAGGTTGCACGTGGTAGAAGTGAAACCTTCAGAAAACTAAACTTCGAAAGAATGCGACGAATGCAGAATATCAGGAGTAGGATAATTGTAAGGTTTATTTATTATAATATTGTTACGCAGTTTAAAACTATTTTAAATTTTGTTTTACATAAAAGTTAAAAGTGGTCAGCCTAAAGTCAGCCTATACACGTCCCACTGCTGCGTACAGGCCTCCCCTCATTTCTAAGAGGGTTGTTTTTTGGAGCAAAGAAGTGTCCGCCACATTGCCCCAATGCGTGTTGGCAAACTTCACATGTCTTCGAATTTTTTTTTTATTTCTCAGACATGCAGGTTTCCTCATGATGTTTTCCTTCAACGCCGAGCACGTTTACACGCTTAGTCTAATTTATTATATAAGATTTGTATGCACGATGTGTGATCAGAATCGAAAGTAAATTAAGTGTTGTCCAAACAAAAAGCACAAAATTATCTGATCACTTTATGCAGGTTTCCTACAATAGAAGAAGAAAAACTTTTGACAATATTGTGGTAATTCTTTAAGTATTTTGAATTCATTGATCGTTATTTGAGGGGATTATTACTATATTAACTCGAATTTTATCTATTTCAGATCATATATTTGGGCTGAGTTAAGTTTTCACCATGAGAATTTTGCTGATTTAAATTTACGTTCTGTGAAAAATAACTCTCACCATAATATATGTTATGAATCAATATGATGCGTGGAAATATTATCTGCAAAAGCAATAGAAAACATAAATAATAATGATAGTGTATAAAACAATCTCTTACAAAAATAAAATTACATAACTATACCTATTTTTAGTTTTATTTTTAAAGTAAAATTGAGTCATTTTGGTGCAATCTCTTTGGTATGGGAATTCACCCAATAGATTTGTGATGCTCGAGCCAAAATTACTCAAATTTGTCATAAATAAAAATTTTAAAAGTTATAGAATACAAGGTTTGGAGTTCCCTCTAAAAAAGTGTTATATAGGCGCCCACCGTGGCGCTTTTAGTGTACACTCATAAACACATGTTTCCTTTTCTTAGTATGAAGTTTGCGTTGTTCTCTCGGTAGAGAGTAATTATGTTCTGTGGGTAGAATCCATGTAGAATCTACTAGCTAGTCTGTGGTTAGCACTTCGCAGCTTTGGGATTGGGGGTTTTGGCGGGAACTTAACCGGCGGCGGATTGCTGCTGCTGTATTATTGTTTAAATAATGGTTTGAAGTGGATTTTGATATGTAAAAGTGGTGCGATTTTATGTATTAAGTGTCTGCGTATATGAATTATTAGTGGAAACAGTGAAACAAGTGCTCTGGTGGTGAGGTAATTCTCAAGATAAGGTGTCTGCCTGATTAGGTGCCTTGAGTTACCATTGCCAACTGTCAGCTGTCTGCTGGCTCAAGTTGCGGTCAAAATCTATCCAAGGGCTGCACAATGTGACGTATCAACATATTCTGAAGTAATATACTATGAAGTAAAATTATACAATGTAACTTCAGGCTCAGAAGGGCTAGAACCCAGAGCCGTAAAGCCAGTTATCAAAGACTACAATTTTTTAACAGTTATTAAAAAAAGGCTTTAGCCTTAGAGTAACTATCAGTGTTACCATATGTGGCAGGTTCCTACCATTTTGGCAGGATTGGCCTCTGGCATAATCGGTTGACGCTTTATAAAACCTAGCAGTATTTGGCAGTATTGGGATATTAAAAATAGATTTCATTTTGGCAACTTAAAATGACGAAAATAGCAATACTTCGCCAGCATGTTGGGGATTTCCATGTATTTCTCGATTTCTCGTATTATGTTTGTATCACATTCAATAAACAACCTTTAAAGAAATGTGTATAAAGTTGATAATCTTCAAACAAGTTAACACGAGTTGCTTAATATTTCAATCAGTCATAAAAGAGATGTACTTTATTTTGATTTCATGGTGATAACATTTTGTTAATAATATTTCGTGGACGATAGTAATTTATAGGCGGCGGTGATGAAGCGAATATATGAAAGGGCGTATAGAGCAAAGTGGGGGCAAGATCTTTTACTTTCATCATGGATCTTAAAAGCTAAAGATGGTCCAGACTGTGTAACTGCTAATTGGCACCCCAGCTGTCTGCTTTAAAGGAGCATGCCGCTACTAGTAAATATCAAAAAAATTTCGTGGTATTCAACATGCGAAAGAATATTCTCTCAAATAAATTTAATTAAGACAAGAACACGAAACATTTATAAACAAACATTTAGCGTCTATCTTGTACGTTAAACAAGGTATTGGTGAGCATGACGATTGCATTTCATTCAAACCAATGAAAGATATGTTCAATTTTAATTTAAAAAATATAGCATTTATATGTGCATTTTTACTTTTCTTAGTTTAAAACAATGGTAAATAAAGTTGGCAGTATTTAGGCATTTTCACTACAGACTTTGCCAGAATTTGGCAGTTTTTTAACCAAAGTAAGGCAGGTTCTGTATTTTAAAGATGGTCACACTGGTACCTATAGTATTATTTGAGTATTATATCAAAGAGTATAGTAATATATAAGGAAGATTATATTATATTAGTCTATGGCTCTATGGTACCTATTACTCATGTTTAGTGTTAAACAGTATTAGTTTTTAGTAAATTAATTGTAAATAGTGATAAAATACGTGCTTATGTATAAATAAACTTGTTTGCGTTATTGTTTCTAAAATTTTAAGCCAAAATGCATCGACGTCGGGGACCGAACTTTACCTATGTCAGTGGATGCGTGAAATATATGATTTTTGTTTTGAATTTTATATTTTGGGTAAGTATTTTAAAACTGTAGTGACATAGTTTGTTATAAAAGTGTGGATGATCAGTCTGTCGTTCAGTTTTTGTGCGAAATGAATGCAATGTTGATAAATCTCAACCATTGTTTAGTAAATCCGCGATGATTCATTGTTGCTCATCATATGTTCGTATGGGAACATAATATTGTAGCTAGTTAGAGAGCAGTCATTAGAAATTGTATTCAAACTCGTACACTGATTTCCGTTCTCGATAAACGCACTGTCGGTAATTTTTAAAGATAATGTCATACATCATCCTCACTTTATAATCAAAATTGTTTCATTTTATATTGTATGTATTTATACATTTTTTAAAAGTTTTGATGACTTCAAGTTTCCTAAATATTGTATAAAAGCAGTATCTTTAAAATATTCAACATTTTATTTAAATTATCTCTTATCTCTAGTTATATGGGGTATGGCATAGTATGTCTTCCGGCTAACCCTTAGAAATGGCAAGCCCAAATATTGGGTTGATATTTTCGTGATATATTTTTAAAAGTTTTGATGACTTTAAGTTTCCTAAATATTGTATAAAAGCAGTATCTTTAAAATATTCAACATCTTATTTAAATTATCTCTTATCTCTAGTTATGTGGGGTATAGCATAGTATGTCTTCCGGCTAACCCTTAGAAATGGCAAGCCCGAATATTGGGTTGATATTTTTGTGATATGTAATATATTTTGATCTATCAGATACGAAAATATTAAAAAGTGGAAATCCATGGTTTTGTAAAATCACTTGGATGTAATTAAGTTTTACTGAAAAAGGTCACTAAACAATGACAAATGTCAAACTATAACATGTTAATAAAACATTTTCAATTTGCACTTTCAATGTTTTTGTCATCATCTTAAAAGCCCTTTACAAAGGCCACTGATGAACATAGGCCTCCCCCAAAGAATGCCACAAAGCCTACTCCTGAGCCACCTGCTTCCATCAACTTCCTGCATGTCTCACCAGGTGTTAATTAAACAACGGCTCCATGGTGCAGTGGCTTAGCAATGAGATGTTACGCCGGAGACGCAGGTTCGAATCCCGCACAGAACAAGTATTTGTATGGCCTACAAATAATTGTCCGGGTCTGGATGTTTGTCCTTGTGCAATTTATGTTTGTAAACTGCCTCCACAATACAGCAGAAAATACTAGTGGGGGGGTAACGTTTTTAAAAAAAAAGAAATTTGCACTGTAATGACAATAATTTTGGTGTCTGCCAAATATGGCATGAAGTTGTCTAGTCTGCTACCAGTAGTCATTAGAAAAAAGGTATATTGTGCCGGTTGTAGGTAATAAATAATGCTATTCTGCTGCAAGATATTAGCTATTTAATTTTTTCCTCAACATATATTGATGAAGTTCTGCTTTATTAATAAACAGAAACAGAAACTTTTTTATTCAATATAGATTATACATAATACTTATTGAAAGTCACTCTTTTGTTTAATTACCACTGCTTTGGAAAAAAAACCTCTGTCCTGGGAAGCACCAGTTTGGTTGGAACACTTAACACAATGTAATTTAAATAGGTACTTCTGACTTTTACTTATTTCACAAATACAAATAAGTCGTATTTAACAACTGTAACTTAAAATTGAGGTGGATATTATAAATTTACAATATTTAATTTTTTAAAATAGTTGGGAGCAATTATTTTACAACTTGTCGTCGGGGTTGCCAACTTTAACATATTATGTACATGATATATTATGTATGCTAGCATATTGAATAATGAACAGTCTAATAGAAAAAAATTCTATTCTGTGACAAGTTAGTAGCTGTTGAAATGTATTACTTATTGCATTGTTTTTAAAGTATAGATTTTAGTATGCATATAGTAGAAATCAGGGTTGCAAGAGATAATTATCAAGATAGGTATTTATCGATAGGTAATTATCAACGATAATTATCATGATAATTATGTACTACTAATTATCAATGATAATAATGTTTATTGCCGCGTGTGATATTGTGCATAAAGTTGTTTATCCAAGCGCAGGTAATATTGTGTGTCAATTTTTTGGCAACATGACAAATAATGGCAATTAGTTTAAATTTTCATATTGTTGGTTGTATCAAACGAAGAGCATTTTTTTTTAGTATTATTATATTTTTGCTTAGTAGTTTTCTCTGCAATTCTTTCTGCTGTATATTAATGACCTATTTCTGTGGGTCTGCAGATGACAAAACAGTTGTTTTTTTCTTTTTTAAAAACATAACCTCCTCACTAGGATTTTTTCCTTTATCATGGGCACCTTTAGTTTACATCCATAAATTTCAGAAGGACAAACATCCAGACCGTAACAATTATTTGTAGTTGTAGGCCATAGAAATACTTGTTCCTTTCGGTATTCGAACACGCGGCCCTTAACGCTGTAACCCATTGCTAAGCCACTGCGCCACGGAGCCATCGTTGTTGTCGTAGTCGTAACGTGGTCATCGTCGTCGTCGTCGTAGTAGTTAAGGAGAGACAACAGTTAAGTAGAGCTATGGTTGAGAACGTAAATTTCTTACTGCAGGCTCTCTCTAAATGTGACAATACCAATCTTGTGAGATGCTATTCCTCCAAAACACGTGTGTCTTTATACCGCAAAAGGCTACCGACTTCCTTTGCCTCCTCCTTTCCAAAATGTATCGTTGGAAATAACTAATCTAAAAGGGACTGCGCTGGACGGGATTATAGTGTACGAGTGTGTATCAAGCATAGGTGCACTTTCTGTTCCTTCACTCATGATCCGATGGGACGGTCATCCGACACGACCGGAGGGAAATCAGGCGCAGGATCAACTTCTATACGTTCTTTCCGAGGCACGGAGGTGAAATACCGCCAACTTCCTCACTCCAAGCTGCTTCTAAAAATTCCAAAACAAAAAAGCTCAATAGCCGTTTTTGGCACGGCTCGCCTAAAAAACCTGGGACCTCATAATCAGTAATCGCGCTTACAACCACCAGACCAACGGGACAGACAATTATGCCATTCTTGAGTCCAAGACGTGGAAGTTAGATTTTCATGCAAATGTGCGGCGGTACTTCTCGCAGATAGCATCTAAAATTAGGTACAATACAAATACAAGGCGCAAGTCCGTATGTGCTTTGACCACTGCTGCAACATAATTTTTTGTGACAGGTTCTTCACAGAAAACACTCTTAAAATTAATAGAAGAAAAATGCAATATACTTTGCTGTTCAATATGCGGCGTGAGAGATTTCATCACTCAAAAAAAACTTCTAAACGGGTGTTGTGTGACTGAGTCGGAAAGGATCCTTGTTGGAAATATACTCTTCGAGATTCCTACGGTAACATTGCATCTAACAGGTTTTGGTATTTTCTAAAACTATCTTCATACACCACCCCAAAAAGAGAAAATAAACCTGATAAAACGGCTAAACCATTAATAGAGATTTCAATGGTAAATACATGTCATTATTGGAGAAATCTGTTTCATCAGACCATAAAATGTGGTAAAATAGTTATTTCCGTTTATTTTTCCCTTTAACGATCTGTAAAATGTAACTTTGCTAATATTGTCTCGCTATTTTGCGAATATTATCGCTTGAACTATTCGCCCCTGCTGATATAACATTTTATCCAAATGTCCTCAAAACAAGTGAGTGGGAAACACCCATTTCGACAGCGTGATTCATATTTTTCCTTTACTATTTCTTTCTTGAACGAGTCACGTTCTTCGAGATTATTTAAGAAATTGTAATATGTTGGCATTAGTTGTTTTGAATTTTTGGTCCTATACTACACCAAAGTAGCTGACAGGTTTTTATTATTTAAAAGAAATACCTTCTAAGCTTCTAACAGATCGAAACATTCTAGATTTTAGGTCATTTTTGACTCTAGAAGGTCAGAAGTCTTAATCAAAACACTTGTACCTATCTTAACGTTTTCAAAGCAAATAAATTAATGACATATAAAAAAGTAAAGTATAGTTACAGCCTATATACGTCCCACTGCTGGGCACAGGCCTTCTCTATTTTCTGAGAAGGTTTTGGGCAAGGAAATGTCCACTGCACTGCCCCAATGCCTGTTGGCGGACTTCACATGTCTTTGAAATATATATTTTTTATTTCTGAGACATGTAGATTTCCTCACGATGCGTTCCTTCACCGCAGATTGCAGCTAGCGTTAATCGAAATTCGAAACTTAATTTTTTTTCAACTGGCCTTTATAGCGGCCAGTCCGTCCAGAATAAAAAGGTTTGTTGAATGTAAAAGTAAGTTGGATTCCCATTTTTTGATAAATGTATGACGAAAGTTTTTAACGATTTCTGACATTTCTAGTGTTCAAACCCTAGGTGGTTCTATGGTCTTTTGATCTTTATAAGGAACAAGATCGATTGGTATCATAAAATGTTTGTGTCAATTTTGCTAATTTTCTTGCTGGCTGTACTTTTTTTAAATTATCTCAAATAAGTTAAGGATTATTGTCCCGTCTCAAAAATCCGCTGTATAATCCTGCATATTATGACGAAGGCCTTCATTGGCCTTGATGAAAGATCATGATTAGAACTATTTAATATTACGAAATAAATTTCTTTGCCTTTGATGGTTTCTTATTTACGGATTTCATCGCGTTTCGTGACCTACCCTGAAATTTCTAATTGTAATTTTAAGTGCTGTTTTGCCACGTGCTCGGCGATTGAGGAAAACATCGTGAGAAAATCTTTATGTCTGTGGAATGAAATATTCCGAGGACATGTTGAGGTATCCACCATCACACACTGGAGCAGCGGGGTATACGAATCATTCCATAAACCACTACAGAAATAAAAAGGAGTAAAGATAGGCGTTATAATGATAAGCATAAAATGTAACAGCGCTTCAATGTAAGCAATTTAACAAATTAAATTTTAAAACCAATTATTGAATTGTTTATTCTTAAATTAAATAGGCTCGCTTGCATTTTGATGAGTTTTCGAAACAACCGACCCCATATGAAATAATTCAAATTATAATCAGACAGTCCTAAGTCTGTGTTAAGTACGACGGAAAGTTCGTTGAATTTGCAATATAGTGAAGTAAACTAACAGGCTAACAGCAGAAAATGTCTTTAAATGTCGTTATAAGTGGCGGCACAAAAGTCTAGCGGTGATCGTTACTGCGCATTAGTCGCGCTGATTGGATCGTGCGTGTCGTTCGCATGAGCCGATTGGCTCTCCAGTCGCATTCGTGCAATTCAATTCGTGCGCATCCCGTCCACGTTTCGTTCAGCGCTAGACTTACGTGCCGCGACTTGTAATACAAGTCATTAAGCCAATATAACAAATAATGTTTTTCTTGATGTAATTTCTTACGAGTCCCGTTTAATTATTAAACGAAAAAGAATTAAGGTATTAAACAAATAAGCAGTTATTCACATCTCTAATGAGGAGGCATGTGCCCAACAGTGGATAACTCACTACCTCGCTTTTGATTGGAAGTCGAAAGTACAATTATTTTAAAACATTTATTGTTTTTTTTTCAGTTATTTGGTGGACTCATGATAGCTATTGGACTCTACGCATTCATTGACAAATGGCAGGCGACTGGATTAATAAAGGTAAGGTTATTTTTAGGCCGGCCACATACATACGGAATTCCGTTTTTATTTTTATATAGGATAGGGTGACAAACGAGCACACAGTCCACCTGATGGTAAGTGGTTGCTGTGGCCCATAGACATCTACATCTATCCTCGTTTGCAAATCAAAATGCAGATGCGTTGTCACCCTTGAGGAGTAAGATGGAACGCCTCTTTTCCAGTAAAAAGGGTCTCCGGTTCTCTACACTCACCATACGAAACACAGCAGCGTTAAGCTGCTATTTTACCCTGGTATTCTGTGAGAGCGTGGTCCTTCCCCAGTCGGGCCGACCCATTCGTGCTACAACTATACTACTAATATAGCTGCAGCATGGCTCTACCACGTAAAACCTACCACGTTTCGGAATTCCGTTTCGATATTCCGATTCGGAATTCCGAGCGCAGCAAGTCCATATAAAATCAAGGACCCGCCACACAGGAACGGCAATTTTCCGTACGGAATTTTCTCCGATTCGAGATTCCGTATGACCGCCTGTGCGTTCGGAATCCCGAACGGAAAAAAGCCGCTTCTAACGCAAGTTTTCCATAGATTTTGTATGAGTGGCAAATCTTTTTACACAATATTGACTATATTGCAAGCTTAGGGTGATAAGGGGATGCACCCAGTAACTATGATACAGCAAGAATGGAATCGCAATCAGAAAATTGTCGTAATTGTTCGCTGGCAGAATGTTCATAATTAGTCTGTGGTCTAGACTCAATGCCTAACGTCTCTCTTATTTCCGTTCGGAATAACAAGGCTCTGCCTTCCCGACCGGAAACTAATGTATGTGTGTGATGTATTCACGGAATCCCGATTCGGGATTCTGAAACGGAATTCCGTATGTATGTGGCCTGCCTTAGACTTAGATGTGGCGGTGAAAGAATATCCACTGTCCCATTCAATCTCGTGGTTGTCGTAAGAGGTGATGGAGGGAAACAAACCAGAAGATGGGTAGCAGTGTCCTCCTCATAACAAATAATAAATAAAAAACTGCACTTGCCAATCCGCAAATCACCTTCGACGCTGCTGCCCGTCGCCGGTGTTGGTATTTTGCATTTGGCATAAATGATATGATTATAACTGCCATCTAGCGGAAGCTATACGATTTTTCTAAATTTCCCGCAGTCGCCTCTTACGACACCCACGAGACAAGATGCGGTGATGGATTCTCTGCCGCCGCACGACATCGCAATGTGAATAATTGTTAATGCCAATAATCGTTCAGCATTTGTTCGGCATTTCCTATGGCGGGAAGTCGAATTCGACTGCGAATTCTATAAATTTGGGGATTGATTGTTCAACATCTAGAACGATACATTTACGAGAATGTGCGCGAGAATCGCATGACTTATTTCCTCCTTCTCCGTGCCATCATCAGACCACCAGAAGCTCGGCTGGGCTCCACCCCATTGTTGTCGAATTACCACGCAATTGAACTAAATGGTTGGCTTCTTCGTTCATCTATATCTATACAAATAAATAAAATTAGTGTCTGTTTGTAACGTCAAAATTACAGCTTTGTTCCGGCTAATATCCGAAACGGCTGGACCGATTTTGACGGGATTTTCACTGGCAGATAGCTCATGTCACAAGGAGTAACTTATGCTACTTTTATTTTAGAAAATAATTAGGGTTCCGCGCAAAAAAAATTAAAACCCCAAATAACACGCGGGCAAAGTCGCGGGGAACAGCTAGTAATTCATAATGTGTACAGCAAAGGAGTGGAATATGTTGCCAGCATCGGTCTTCCCATCCGATTACAGTGTGAATGTCTTCAAGGCAAGAGTGAAATAGGCTTTTGTTAAGTCAGTGCGCTTCACCATCTTAGGCTACATCACCACTTACCATCAGGTGGGATCGTAGGTAAGCGCTGGTTATAATAGTTAAAACAAAACGACACTATATTTATAATTAATAATAAATAACAATAATTAATAATAATAATAACAATAACACTATTTTTACGTAATTTTATATTACCCACGAAATTTTCAGTGTTTCTATCTAAGTGTATTATGACAGAAACAGAAACATTTGTATTCAATATAGATTATAAATAATACTTATTGAAGTCAATCTTATGTTTAATTACCACTGGTTCGGGAAAAAAAACTGTACTGGGAAGAACCAGCAAGAAACCCAGCGGGATTTCTTACAATCATATTATGTTACACAATTAACAACACATAACAAATTACAAATCCACCAGGCTGGTAGCGATCACCCCATTCCCAGAGATATTAACATCCATAAATTCCTTAATATTATAATAACCCTTTTTATACAAATTTGTTTAATAAAGTTTTAGAACTTTGAGCAATTCAAATTTTGTATATTTTTGTTGTAAAAGCGTATACGTCACCCCAAGAATGAATTACTGACTCGTTGGAGTCGAGTAACTGGTACTTTTTTCTTTTTTTTTTTATAGGATAAGGGTGACTAACGAGCACACAGTCCACCTGATGTTAAGTGGTTGCTGCGGCCCATAGATGTCTATATTTGTAATAGACATCTATCCTCTATTACAAATCAAAATGTAGATGCGTGGTCACCCGTGAGGATTAAGATGGAATGCCTCATTTCCAGTAAAAAGGGCCTCCGGCCACCTGCACTCACCAAGCGAAACGCAGAGGTAAACCTCTACTTCACACTGGTTTTCTGTGAAGTCGTGGTACCACCCCGGTTCGAGCCGGCCCATCCGTGCGACAGCAAAAGCTGCCGCGTGGCTCTACCACTGTTAAACTAACTTATGTCTGTTCCTATACAGAATGAATATCACTTATTTTTGTTTTTAACCCAATCCCATCCTACTGAAATCTAACGATACTTCCTGAATGTGACGTATTCATACGAAATATTAATAATTGTAAACAAATGATAAAAACTAATGTTGTTCATTGTACAAAAATAAAACCTAATTATGGTCTGATTTTTTTTATATCTGTAGTTTTCAACCTACTTCAAAAAAAGGAGGAGGTTTTCAATTCGTCTGCATTTTAAAAGGTTTTAGTTAAAGAATGTCGAATATTCGCGGCATTTTTAGTCTCAAGATAATAATATACAAATCACTGATTTATCAAAATAATCACAACGCGGATTTAAGTTCGTTGTTGTTTTTTAGAGCCAGACACGGATCAATATTTTTTTTTATATAACGTTGGAAAGTTGTTCTTGAGTTCTCGAAGTGCACCGGATTGACTTTATATGGAGACTTGTTTAAAAGGGTGTTGCTGTTTATGATGTCATTTTTAGAGCCTTTCAATCTACACAGACTTGTTTTTAATCTTTGTGTTCATATTACAGCAAACGATATACCCTGATTATGCCATGATCCTGACGAAAAGAGTCGGATTAATTAATTATGAAATATAGTGAAACGAGAATAAATGTTAAACCTTTTTTTGTTCTGACTCTGGATTCGAACCACGAACCTCATGATTAACACTCGCGGCAACGGCCACTTGATCAATGAGCCAGTCTATTCGTGGATATTCTTTGACCACATATTCACCTTTTACAGAATAAGAGTGACAAACGAGCACCTGGTAGAGACATGCTGCAGCTATATTAGTAGTATAGTTGTAGCACGAATGGGCCGGCTCGACCGGGAAAGGACCACGCTCTCAAAGAATACCACCGTAAAATAGCAGCTTAACACTGCTGTGTTTCGTATGGTGAGTGTAGAGAACTGGAGACCCTTTTTATTGGAAAAGAGGCATTCCATTTTAGTCCTCGCAGGTGACAACGCATCTGCATTTTGATTCTTTATTGAGGATAGATGTAGATGTTTATGGGTCACAACAACCACATACCATCAGGTGGACTGTGTGCTCGTTTGTCACATTACCCTATAAAAAACCATTGTCCACCTATACTGATACGGTGGTCCATAGACATTTACATATCCGATTAAGAATCAAAATGCTTTTTTATTGGATAAGGGTGACAAACGAGCTCACATTCCATTTGATGGTAAATGATGGTAAATGGATGCTGTGGGATTTAGACATTTACATACATCTATCCTCGATTAAGAATCAAAATGCAGAATGCTTTGTCACCCCTGAGGGCTAAGATGGTGTCTCGTTTCTAGTAAATTTCAATTCTCCGGTTTTTTACATTCACGATACGTAACACAGCAGCATCAATCAGCAGTATGCGTCAACCATAACATAGCTGCGGCGTGGCGCTACTACGTAAAAACATAAACTTTGAACAGATGGACTTTCTGCTCGTTTTTCCCACTTGTATAAAAATTGTACCTAGTATTATTTGTTATGTTTCAGCTGGACACGATATACGATGTAATGCTAAACATCAGCCTCCTGATCGCATTGCTGGGTGGCGTCGTGTTCATCGTGAGCTTCGCGGGTTGCGTCGGCGCGTTGCGGGAGAACACATGTCTCCTCAAATTCGTAAGTTAACGAAGTGTTCGTAAAAAGTAAAGTTGCGGTCTATATGTCTCACTGCTCAAGTATCCTCTCATTTCTGAGATGGTTCTGCAGTAATAAGTCTATTGTGCTCATTCACTGCGTGATGGTGGACTTCAGGTTTTCAAAATATTGTTTTCAAAATATTTTTATATATTTTGTAAGCGAAAGAGGAGCATCCTCAGATGCACTTATGATGGGTGGCGCAAATATGCGTGCGTTACAACATAAAGTACAAGAAAATATAATAAACAGATCGTTAGCAATTTGTTGCAAAAATATAGTACGCTTCCACGATGATGTTTCTTTCAAAAATCCTATAAAACAACAACAATTGCCACGATGCCACAGATACCGACGCTTCGTTAGAATAAAACTTTCATCTGGCCAGTATTTAATAGACGTGCCGACATATTTATTTAACTTCATATACACTTTAATGTATATCCATCCATCAATCCATACATTACAGCCTATAAAAGTCCACTGCTAAACATATACTATACATGTATATGTATAATACGAGTAGTAAGTAAGGCTTCTACTTTTATTTGAAATTATCCTAAATTGAATTTATAAACATTTTCTCCTTTCCCCGGGGATAAAATTGTCTCTTGCCCATGTTAGCCCTGCAGAAGTGGGATTAAATGTTTTAATTTCAAGCAATATTTTAACTAGAAGGTAAGTTACTTTCGTCGTAATACAAATAATCGTAGTGCAAATAGTAGTAATATAAAAGCTAACGACCCACCCAGGCATCGTAGGGACCTGGATAGGATTTATTAATGCGGCATTAGATTTAAAATAATTTTAGACCATTTGACAATTTACTAATATTTCGATTTCTCAAAAAATCTCCAAGTTTTTCGGATAAAATATAACCTAGATTACTACCACCTGTCCTATCCACCTGTGTATTCAAGTTTTAATTAGCGTAATTAATCGCAATAAATGACAGTTATTTCGATTTTATAGACCAGACTTTTCAGTTTTATATAAATACTAGCGATCCGTCGGGCTTCGCACGGTTGATTTCTTGATCTCTACAACAACGCCACCTACCAGGTCCAATTGTAAATATCTAATCAACTTAATCACATATAATCAAAAAAATCGAACCTGCCGTTTAGGAGAAGTTCAGTCACATACACACGGACAGAAGAAATGTATAATATGCATGTATTATGTATTATACATATAAAACTTCCTCTTGGATAATTCTGTCTATTGATGAAAATCGCATCAAAATCCGTTGCGTAGTTTAAAAGATCTAAGCGTACAGACGGCGGGAAGCGACTGCTTTCTACTATGTAGATTTTTTTATATATAGGGTGACAAACGAGCCACAATCCTACTAATGGTAAGTGGGTACTGTGGCCCTACACATTTATCCTCAGTTAAGAATCAAATTTGACGGCTCCGTGGCGCAATGGCTTAGCAATAAATTGTTGCGCTGGGGGCCGCGGATTCGAATCCCGCACGGAACAAGTATTTGTATGGCCTACAAATAATTGTTTCGGGTCAGGATGTTTATCCTCGTGCAATCTATGTTTGTAAACTGCCTCCACGATACAGGAGAAAATCCTAGTGTGCGGGTAACGTTTTAAAAAGAACAAAATGCAGGTGCGTTGTCACCACTGAGGACTAAGATGGAATGCCTCGTTTCCAGTAAAAAGGGTTCTCTCTCCAGTTCTCTACACTCACCATACGAAACACAGCAGCACTAAGCTGTTATTTTACGCTGGTATTCAGTGAGAGCGTGGTCCTAGCACGGTCGTGCCGACCAATTAGTGCTGCAACTATAATATAGCTGCAGCGTGGTTTTACCACGTAAAAATTTAAATCTAAAGATATAGAACATTATCTGCGTATTATGCTAATATGTTGTTATTTTATTTTAATTATTTGATTTAGAAGAAGGGTGGAATACAGTGTCGAGGTCACTATTTTTTTTTATTAATGTACACACAATAAGGTATATAAACAGTCTTATAGTGAGTTTGTACAGAGGTCTACTTATTCCATAATTAGCTGAAATTTCTTCCAGTAGACCCACAAAGGAAAATATATTAAATAGGTAAACTTAGTGCGTACAATACTAATACTATTGTAAATAATATACAAAATGTTAGTTAAGTTATATTAAATGATACTATCAAGAAAAATAAAACAATACCATAAATAAAATAATACATACAATAGCTACATGTAATATATATATAAACTAATACTAATATAATAAAATAATACATATTAATTAACATTTTTCGAAAATTGTATCATAATTTCCAGTACTCTCTATGTCTCCTGATCCTCTTTCTGGTTGAGATGGGAGGTGCAGTGTGTGGCTTCGTGTTTCCTCGGTCTCTTCACGGATTGCTCGAGCTGAGCTTCACGGAGCGAATAGTCCACGCGTATAGAGACGATCCCGATCTCCAGAACTTCATTGATTTCGCGCAGAGCGACGTGAGTAGGCCTGTTATGAAATTTCCATTTTAAAGACAAGAGTAGAAACAAACCGTGTTATTAATTGAATAAAACTACTTTTACGGATTCTATCGCGTTTAATTAACTTGTTCTTTATTGATTCCGGGAAGTCTGCAGTTTGTGATCATATCCTAGACGGCCCCCACCATTACATTAAGATTTGATAAACCACAAATTCTCGCGAAAGAACATCAATTCCTGCCAAGGATGATATGTGAGACTATTGAAATTAAAAAACATCCTAATTTCCTTAGAGAGGGAGGCTGGGTATTACCACCTACTTGGGATCCTGTAATTAATAAAATTAAAACTAAACCCAAGCATACCACTGCAAGACTTCAAGACACAGTAAGTTCATTCTGCGTAGATCGGAGCAAAATTAATAATTAAAAAGCTGAAGGTACTCCAGGTTAACTCTGACATCGGGACGTCAATCACCTCAGTCCCCCGTGACCATGGGTGCTGTAAAGTACCCGAAACGTCGGGATTCAATAAGAAACAAGTTAATTAAACGCGATAGAATCCATAAAAGTAGTTTTATTCAATGTGTAGTGTTTGTGTTAATATAAGAAATCATTAGTGTTATATAATTTAACATGGTCTTACAGCTTTTTAGAGTCCATCAACCCACTTGTCCCGTGGGTGTTGTGAAGCTACGGCAATAATTATGGCCATAATTGAAATAACACCTAGCTATAGCCACGATTTATGGTCACAATTTCACAATGTCAATCTATCATATTACAGTAGGCAATAGATCTGGTGGCGGTCTTTTTCAAAGGCGATTACCGCGGTAATTATTGCGCCAAGTGGCCACACTACAGTTTGTACAGTGACTCTCGTAAACTACAACAACGCCTCAGCTTCAACCTCCATCTTAAAAAATTACATTCTTTCCGCCTAGTTCATTGTCATATCTGTGTAAACTCCAGTGTAACCACACTACTTTACGCGGTAATTTAGGCAGTAATCAAATGCCATAATTATTGCAATATCGAGCAGTAGACGCTAAGGTAGTGTGGCCGTAGCATAAAAAGCACTAACGGGATATGCTAGTAAGACCTGATGGCTTCTGATATATTCATCGTCCCATTTACGCCAGACGCGGTGATATTAGGTGGTAAGAATCCTTCTGCCTTGTAGGAGTCTGTCTGGGTGCGTACCGTCACCGTTACAGCCTTATTAAAGTCCACTGCTGAACATAGGCCTCCCCCATAGATTGCCTCATAGGGGTGATATTAGCCATAGTTGCCAAGCTTGCCACGCAGGTTGGCAATTGCAGTTTTTAATTTTTAGTTTTTATGAGGAAGACGCTGTTGCCCATCTCCTGATATGTTTCCCTCTGTCGCCTCTTACGACACCCACGGGATAATATAGGGTAGTGAATCTTACACCGTCACTACACAGTAGGTTCAATCCTCTTTTTTTATAGGATAATGGTGACAAACGAGCTCACAATCCATCTGATGGTAAGTGGTTGCTGTGGCCCATAGACATCTACATTTATCCTCGATTACGAATCAAAATGTAGATGCGTTTTCAACCGTGAGGATTAAGATGAAATGCCTCCTTTTCTGTAAAAAGGGTCTCCGGTTCTCTACACTCATCATACGAAACACAGCAGTATTAAGCTGCTATTTTATGCTGTTATTCAGTGAGAGTGTGGTCCTACCCCTATCGAGCCGACCCATTCGTGCTACAACCATAATATGACTCTATCACGTTAAAAAAGTGAAAGATTTATTTAAATATCATATTTGTTTTAATAATAATGACATTTCCATTACAGTTTCACTGCTGTGGTCTTACATCGGACGGGTATATGGACTGGTCGAAAAATGAATACTTCAACTGCTCCTCACCATCCGTGGAGAGGTGTGGGGTTCCGTTCTCGTGCTGCATCAACGCCACAGACATATCATCCGGCCTAGTCAATATTATGTGCGGATACGGCGTCCAAAATTCACCAGTAAGTACATGCGCCTTTTGGTAATTGATTACTAACAAATTCTTAACTGTTTGAAAAAAGGCAAACAGTAAAAGCAATCATCATCAACATCATTACAGCCCTTCACAAGTCCACTGCTGAACATAGGCCTCCCCCAAAGAATGCCACAAAGCACGGTCCTGAGCCACCTGCATCCATCGACTTCCTGCATATCTTACCAGGTCGTCACTCTATCTAGTGGGGGGAAGCCCTACACTTCGCCTGCCGGTACGAGGCTGCCACTCGAGAACCTTTCTTCCCCATCGGTTGTCGGTTCTTCGAGCTATATGGCCGGCCCATTGCCACTTCAGCTTACTAATCCGTTGGGCTATGTCGGTCACTCTGGTTCTACTGCGGATATCCTCATTTCTGAGTTTATCACGCAGAGAAACTCCGAGCATAGCCCTCTCCATAGCTCGCTGAGCGATCTTGAGCTTCCTCATCCGGCCAGCAGTGAAGGACCACGTAAAAGCAATGTTACAGTCTAAATAAGTCGCACTGCTAGATACAGACCTCTTTATTTTCAGAGATAGTGGACAGCACATATCCTTGTAGTATTTTAAATTATTACACAGAACAGATTCCCTCATTGATTCTAATAGGGGGGATATTTACCATAGTTGCCACGCATAGCAAGCGTAACAATAACAAAAACGCATAACATAAGCAACGCAATGCATAATGTAAAGAAATTATAACTAAAAAGCAAAAAATAAAACAATATACTCAAATATATTGGTTTGTAGCAATGAAAAGGAATATGACTGCATGATGCTGTAGCAGTGTTGCCACGGCTACAGTGCTTTTATTATGTGGGCGCCTTCTATTGCCAATTGTGCCCGACCGAAGCTTCGGTTTTGACCACATTCGGCTAAAAAGCCACCTTTGGCGAAAACTTTGGCTTCGTTCAAAATGGCCCGAAGTTTTGATCGAAGCCGAAGGTTTCTAGCAAGCGACGAAAAACAAACTGTTATGAATAAGCGAGTGTGCGATGGGCGTAGCGACTCAATTTTTATTATATCTAGATCAACTTTTAGATACGATTAATATTACCTTTTTGTAATATAAATATACCATCAATATAAACTTTTAACTTAAAAGTTTTAAAATCATTCATATTATTACTTTTAGCCAATCTTGAACTGACTTTCTTAGGGTTTTAAGCTTTGACTTCGGCCAGAAATCGACCTTTGGACGGACACTAATTGCAAAAAATAAGTTGATAAAAGGGATTGAATAAAACTACTTTTACGGATTTTTTTTTACTAATTAATTTCCCCGTGACCATGGGTGCTGGAAAGCATCCGAATCGTCGGGAATTTAAAAATAAGTATAATTTAACGTGATAAAAATCCGTAAAAGTATTTTTATTCAATGTAAGAAATCATTTTGTGATAATATTAAAATTATTGTTGATATTTTTTAAAAGCGCTCGACCGATTTCGATAAAATTTAAATGGTACCCTGGGACCACCTGGAGAGTATATTTTTTTTTGAAACAAAGAAAAGAATTTTCGAAAAACAAAGATTCCGACGAATTGTAAACCTCCTCCTTTTTTAAGTCGGTTGAAACGGGAGTGAAATAAAAATCTAATAATCGTATATTACAAAATAATTTAAAAGTACTTTTTTTTATTAAAAGTACTTAATTTAAAAGTATTTAAACAAATTAATAAATTGTATTGACTTATGGACATAGCTGTGATAAAATGTAATCAAAATTACTGCAACCATTACGCTAATAAGGCTACAGAAGTGTTCTCATCTCGATCTAAAAAGCTGGAATGCCTCACAACCTGTGTTTATACGCGCGCACCCTCGGTCTATAAATATAAATCATTTAAAATTAAAAATATTGTACAACCGACTTCAATATAAATTATTAAGAATAACTTAAAAATTATTGGTACCTTATTCAAATTTATATGGAACCCAGAAAAAAGTTACACATAAAAGAAATACTTTCGAATTGAATACCTCCTGCTTTTTGAAGTCAGTGGAATAGGTATATTATTTTATAAAATGGCATTTAATTTTGCAGGTCGCCGAAGCAAGCAAACGCGTTTGGACGAGCGGCTGTATCGAGATAGTTCGCTCGTGGGCCGAACGCAACCTGTACATGATTGCGTCGGTGGCTTTAGGAGTAGCGTTGTCGCAACTTTTCGTTATATATCTCGCTAAGACCTTGGAGGGACAGATTGAGCTACAAAAAGCAAGGTATGTTTTTATTATTTTACTTAAAAATGTGAATATTAAAATAGATGGTACTAAAACCACTACGTGTGCGTGTGTGTGTGCGTGCGTGCGTGCGTGCGTGTATGTGTGAACCGTCGAATGCCCCATAATGGCGACAAGAGAATCCACTACCCAATAACTTACCGGGGATGTCGTAAAAGCAGAGGTATAAAAAATTAGACGGACAGCAGCATTTTCCTGATGATATCTTAAAAAAGAAAACTAATATATTCCAGTAGTCCCCTTACGATACCCACAGGATGATACGTGTTAGTGGATATTCTTACACTATACGGTGAAAATCTTATTATTATTATTATTTAACAGGCCAGCAGTTGAAACAACTGATATAAGCCCGTATCCTAGTTTCAAATGTGTAATTATTCTATTTTAGTTGTTTATCTAATCTGTTCTTGAATTGGTTAATAGTTTGTGCAAATATCACTTCTGATGGCAGCTTGTTCCATGCTTCAACCACTCTGGCTAAAAAAGTGCTTGTGTGGGTTATTGTGTGACACGGATTTAGTTAATTTGTAGTGATATCCCCTAAGATGTGTGTTTTTTGAGTACTGGAATAGATTTTTGTCTTACTCCTTTGTCTGTCCTTACAATCACTTACATTAGAATCCTATTCAATATCTGTTCATTTATCCGCAGGTGGCAAACATGAAACAGGGGCTACGCGGGCGCTTACCGGGACGAGTCGAGGCGAGCGCTCCTGTAGCCTCACCCTCCGCCCTCGGGCTCCGCAGAGCTGCATCTGTAGCGCTCGCCTCTTTTCTACAGGACATTGCCTTCCATATCCCGGAAGCCCTGTGTCCCTCCCTTCCTGGACACCACGCTTGAATACCATAAGAAGAACCTGTGAAGTGTGAATAGTGATCATGAACCTTAAAAAGAAACCCATTGGTGTTTTATCAAGTGCTCATTTTGACAAGTATTAGTGATACTGCTTCAACAGATTTAGAAGTTATTTGGATGTGTTCAGATTCTTAAATTAGTGATTTTATCTATACAAGATATAATATGTGGTAAGGTAACATCTGCCTGTATATTATCTTCTGTAGAGACTCTTACTTTCGGAGTAAAGATACCAAAAAATAAAAATATCGGACTAGGCAGTATATTTGGCCAGACATTTTACTCTAAAAAAAAAAACGTAAGGAATTTAAAATTTTCGATTCAATTTTCAGCATCAATTGTCTGCCATGCTATAATGTTTCATTAAGTATGTAATTTTATTAATAAGGCACAAATAATTTTTTATTATTATATTGTGTGACTTAGGTGTGGTAACTATTAACTGGCCCTTTCACATAATTATGCAGGATTTGTCATAGTGTCACCATTACTCGGCAAGAGGATTACCAAGTCTTGGTGTAGGGTGAGGTTTGTGAGTTGTAACCCTCTACATATAATTGATGTGTAGGTTGTTGATGTAGGTTGTATCTACGTTATGGGATGTGGTAATTAAAACTGTGTCCGATTCCGTAGAGAGCGTTTATAGTACTAAAAATACTTATAAATAAAATGTAATTGAAATGAACGTGTCACGCGCGTAGGCGCAATATCATTAATAATGAATTCCTAATCTATTGAAATACCATGTACTTGCTCGTAAACTTGGTTTACACTTTTATAGTTCTTGCAATTCACAAATGTGTATGAGCCTTACTTGTAGCAAAAACTTACTTGTATACTAGTCAATGTGTGTGTATACATGGTAATATGTACGGTTAGCATAAATTAGCATAAAATAAAGATAAATGACATTATATTATACATGGGACTGCTGACCTCTTCGAGGAGATTTGGCTTGAATTGCAATATTCCTGGCTTTAGACGTGGATTTGCAGGAAATAGCTCATAGTAAATGTAAATAAAATTAAAACTTATCTAAATTATTTAATCATATATTATTTTTACATTACATTGTTTTGGGAAGTAATTATAAAAAGAAATTATTTAGAGTACATAGAGACACATTCGCTCTCAATTGATCACTTTGACAGACATGGACACTGACAGAATATACATGTATATTTTTTTTATAGGATAAAGGTGACAAACAAGCACACAGTCCACCTGATGGCAAGTGGTTGCTGTGGCCCATAGACATCTACATCTATACTCGATGACAAATCAAAATGCAGATGCATTGTCACCTGTGAGGACTAAGATGGAATACCTCGTTTCCAGCAAAAAGGGTCTCCGGTTCTCTACACTCACCATACCGAATACAACAGAGTTAAACTGTTGTTATACGCTGGTATTCTGTGAGAATGTGGTCGTACCCCGGTCAAGCCGACCCATTCGTGCTACAACTATTATATGTCTAACCACAAACAAAGTTCATGCATGCTTAGTGAATTGCAATACATGAATACGAATTATGAAACGTGCAGGTAGTCAAAACAAATGCATGTGAATCAGGACTGTACTTTATGGCACTCTATGAGGGAGTCCTATATTCACCAGTTCACTTGTGATGGGCCATATGTATAGCGATAGTGGTACAGTTTTATTTTAAAGAGATATATATATATATATAGTCGTATTTCAAAATGTTGTTTTGAGTTTTGGGTTTAAAATGATTGCCACATCTATACATATAAATAAAGTTATGGAGTGTCTGTTTGTAATATCGAAACATTTACACTTTATTGATCTAAAGGGGTTATTTGTATGCTATTAAGATATCAGTAACCATTTTTAAAATTTTTGTCTGTCTGTCTGTCAGGGCGAACCTTTGAAAAAGCTGAACCGATTGTACTGAAACCTGACAAACAGATAAAGAGAAATGCCAGAAATTACATAAACTATAATTTATTGGAAAATCTTGACTCCTTTCTTTGGGAAATCGAAATATTCACTTAAATTTAAAAGACGCTACATAAAAAGATCCTGCCAAAGCCGGGGCGGGTTACAAGTATTTTAATAAGACTGATAAAGTGTGTTTGTCGGAGAAAGTTTCAGGTATGGCTCATCCAATCCTAAAAGTTATATAACTGAAAGAAGCAACATTTTACACATAGCTTATTTTATACCAGACTAGTTGACCCGTGTGAAGTTAGGTTAGCAAGATTATTTCAATTTCTTTTCTACCAACTTCAAAAAGGAGATGGTACTGAATTTGACTGTATGTTTCTTTTTTTATGTGTGTTACCTCATAACTTTTTACTGGGTGAACCGATTTCGATGATTCTTTTTTTTATTTGAAAGCTGGTGCTTTCCATGTGGTCCCATATAAATTTGATCAGGTTCTGATCAATAGTTTTTGAGTTATTCTTAATAATTTATATTGAAGTTAGTAGTACAAAATTTTAAAATATTGTGATTGTTTATAATGCATTGTGTTTATTTATATTAAACCGTTTGGTAAGTGGTCACAGACAAACCAACCAATTATCTCATTTTTCCACGCCTTTTTTTTATAAATATATCTATTAAAAATTAAAAATACACATATGTTTCATTTACGGCTATTGATTGATTGATTTTGATTGACTATGATTCATATAAAAAATATTCAGTTTGAAATTGTTATATTATAAAAATCTAGTTGGAAAAAATGAGCTAATTGGCTGCTTTAAGGGTGACCGCTACCAAGACGATATAAATGTACTGACTGCCTTGTTAGTCTAGTTTGAATAGATCACTAGTTTGATTCCTGGGTCGGGTTGAAAAATTAGACCCCAGTGAAGTCACGCTGGTCGACAAGTCTGATAGCGTTTCCTAAAGTTTTTTTTAATGTGTGTCTTTTGCTACTACCATGAAGTATGGTGTATATTTGTCAACCTTGAATGTTTTAAGTTGGTAAATTTTATTTGCTAAGGACCCAGTCTTTATAGCTTCCTTCCAGTTGCCTCTTTTAATTATACTAACTTTTAGAAATTTTGTGTAACTCAATTTATAAATATCATATGATTAACCAGTCAGTAGATTAGTATGTATAATAAAGGTATATTAGGTAATTTACTTTTAATTGCACATTTATCTATTACCTGAGTGCTCCAGAAGGAGTTTAATGTGTGTTTAATTGTATATAATATTTTGTCTATGCTTTTCTGACCGGTATGTAGCATGAACAAGGTGACAGATATCGAAGTATGAATTGTCGTTAGATTTGCCCTTATATCTACAGTGTCATAGGCTAGATTTTATTGTAATAATATCAGTGTTTAGCCAAAGTAAGTTATATAATAACGGGGACAACATAGTTTGGTTTTCTTTCATTTTCATAGCTTTTTTTTACTAGCATTAACAATTGTAGTTTGTCAACTTGGTTAATACGGCAGTATGGTACTCGTAAAACAATTATATATTTACTTGAAGAGCATTCTAACCTACTTTAAGCTTTTAGGAGCTCTCACTTTGGAGATTATTATCAGATTGAATGAGACTGCATAAGCTTTATACGAGCATCTCGCAACGCACGCACACAATCACGGAGTCTACCTGCTACTGCAGACAGAAAATAACGCAATATTTAGTACTGCCGATGCAGACATTACGTTATTTGTTTGTTGGTTGTTATTTGTATGTGTTTGTGTGCGTGCAATGTGTGTCGCTTGTATGAAACTTCCATACTCTGTCATATCATTTTATAAGTTAATAATCTCTCTATAAATTTAGAAACAGCACAAAACATTTCAATATTCATTTTCATTTTATCACTTTATTTTTACTATGGCTATTCCTTTGTATGTGTATGATATACAAAGGAATAGCCATAGCCATATGGTATAACAATGTGGCTAACAAGTTTAGTTGTGTGTCAACAGAGTTGTGTGTCTAATCTTACAACATAATACCTTAATTATAATTACAAGGTCACTTTTATATATAATGCCATAGATAATAATACACTCTATTCTTATCTTGTCTATTGTTGCTTTTACAAAAGATTATCTTTGCTATCTTATCTTTACTCCATTATATAATTTTAAAGACAACTGAAAACAAAACTATACTTTAAAAATTTAATTCCTACATAAATTAAGCACAAAGTGTAATGCAGTGCACAGGTAAACAGGAGTTCCTCCTGCACCCATTGGTGGGTGAAACTGGTGGGTGCACGGGGCATTACTATATTTATTATTTTCTCATTTGAACATTATGGGGTTTATAAAGTCATACAAATAATGTGAGAAGTTTAATTAGACTTATAAATATTTTTATTATTATTGTATTTACTTTACTTGCATGCAATGTGACCGTATAGTGACGTTGCAAGAATATTCATTACCCCCCACATCGTCTCTTGGGTGTCGTAACAAGTGAAAAAAGAAACTGAAACGGGAAATAGGTCTTCCTGATAACAATTCAAAGTTATAACTAAGCTAACCCACCTGCCACGCGTGACTACTATGGCAAAATCCCTCCTATTAAACCAATCTTCTCTTCTCAGGATTTTATAGGCTGTAATGGATGGATGGATGCAATGATATTTTTTTATAATCCCATATATGTATTCCTTGCTCAATTTCTTAACTTGCCCATGAATTTTGAAATTTTTAACTAACTAAATTTGCTCAACGTCTTTGAACTCAAAATTGTTATAATTTCTAACATTTATATTTTTTATGTTATATTTAACTTTACAGAACAAAAATTCTATATACATTATTTTACACCAATTTTTAAACAATGTGTGTGTGTATGATTAAG